GCTTGCGTTTCAGTGGGCCTCACTGGCCGCTGAGTGGAGCTTGGGTCGCATGGGACGGGAGCACACACTTCAGAGTAATCCAGGAAAAAGGCCACGGTGACGTGGACAGGAGCAGCTGTGTGTGTGTGTGTGTGTGTGTGTGTGTGTCGGGGGTGAGTGTGGGGGAAGCGAGGGAACCCCAGAGAGGAAAAAGCTTAAATTCTAGAGCGTTCTTGACAAGCCTTTGGGTCCCAGATAGTTTGGGGCATGAGAAAGCAGAAGCGACGTCTGCTTGTTCTGGGTAAAGCATGTGTTGGTGGCAAAGTTCCAGGAGAAGTGGTTCACCAGCAGGAAAACCAGGGGAACCTGAGCTCTATCTGGGGGGGAAGGGCCCGAGCACCCTGAGTGTCCGACGACACAGGCGAGCTCTGACACGTGCCGGTGTCCCCGGTGGGACACAGGACGGGCTAGAGAAACACAGTGGGCCGATGGGCTGGAGGCCAGAGCTGGAACTGGGTATGGACACACGGTGTCAGCAGCCAACACTGGGATCTGTGCTGGTGACTAAGACCAGGTGTGATGAGTAACTAACTCTGCCTGGAGCCCCCCCCCCCCTCCTGCTGGGTGCCCCCTCCCTTGCTTATCTCAACCACCAGGGCCACCCTGAAGAGAATGCGAAGAGGAAACCCCTGACTTGACTGAAAAAGCTAACGGAACAGAGTCCAAGCGGAACTGGCAAGAGAAGGTTTCTGCCCGTTAAGTTCAGTTATTAAAAAACAACGCTGTACGGTTTGCTTACCTGACGGGGTGGTTTCTGAAACTCATGCCAGGAAATAAGAACCAAAGTGGAGTTAGTGTGAAGAGAGGGTGAGCTGAGGAAAGATGAAAAGTTGATTTTGGCCGAAACCGGTTTGGCTCAGTGGATAGAGCGTCGGCCTGCGGACTGAAAGGTCCCGGGTTCGATTCCGGTCAAGGGCATGTACCTGGGTTGGGGGCACATCCCCAGTGGGAGATGTGCAGGAGGCAGCTGATCGATGTCTCTCTCTCATCGATGTTTCTAGCTCTCTATCTCTCTCCCTTCCTCTCTGTAATAAATCAATAAAATATATTTTTAAAAAAAAAGAAAGAAAAGTTGATTTTGGAAGGACCAAGAGGGCCAGGAGATGGGGCTGGGAAGGTGTACGTTCCAGTGTTTGCTGGGTGACACCTCTGTTACACACACACACACACACACCTTGAGTATCCTGCCATCCCAGCTGCCAACCCAAAGGAATTCTCTGATGGTTGGAATCTGTATACTCGTCTCATGAAAAATATCCCACAATATCCGAGGAGGATGGCATGTGCGATCGTTTTATTGCACGGGCAAAGGGTATGTCATGCCCGCCTGCACTCTACCTGAAGCATGAGAAGCAGCTAAAGTCAGTGCATCTTACACAAGTTCAGTGCTGGCCACAGAGCTTCCTGGCTCCCCCACCCCCCAAGGGCTGCTCTCATGGTGGCCTGTGTTAACCACACTGCACGCAAGCGCAGGGGGTGGCCCCGGCGTCCACCTGGATCCCAGCCCGTTTCCCCAAACTCTTCTCCAAACACCCTCGTTAGCCAGGGGAGGCCACTTATAAAAAGCCTTGTGGTTTTCATGAAGAAACGACTGCATGTGACAGCGTTTGCCCCAAATCACCAGGGAACTCCAACGATTTTGGCTAAACACCCCTTTAAGAGCTGACAAAAGACAAGCGTATCTACTAGTATCTATTAGGAAACTAAGTGCCCGGATGGCTATTCCCACCATCAGCTGCAGGGACGGTGAGGGGGCGCGTTCTCCTGGATTCGCGAAAGCGCGGGACGCAGAGGACAGCTGCTGGGCTTTGGCTGGCCGGCCCCTGGGGACGCCCGGACGTCCTCTCCCGCCGCCCTTCCTGACCCAGCGTGCCTGCCTCTCATGCCTCGGAGAGCCTGACGTCGTAGGTGACCATGTTGAAGTTGTCCCAGGCAAAGAGCTTCTTTCCCAGGGGGTTGTAGTCGATCATGCTGCTGTACTTGTAGCGGTTCTTGAACGGGATGGCCAGGGCCTTGCTACTCCCCGTGCCCGTGTCGTACGCGAAGTTGACAGTGGCATCGGGCGACGAGTAGCTGCTGACGGTGTACAAGGTGCCACAGATGACGAAGGCGTTGGCCACGGACTGCTTCCGGATGTTCGTCTCCCAGGTCTGCTCACGCTCCAGACTCTCGGGGTTCAGCCTGGACAGGACGATGGCGCCTTTGGCCTCCTCCGTGCTGTAGATGACCCACAGGCCCGACTCGTCCACGGCCAGGTCCATGTCTGTGTAGCCGCCCCAGGAATACGGGAACTGGCCGTGGTAGCCGGCTCCCGGGATGTCCTTCTCGGCCTTCACAGTCTCGGTGGTCAGCTCGTACCTGACCACCGTCCTGGACTCGGCCGCCTGGAAGTAGAGGCTCCCCCCGTAGACCACGGCGCCCGTGCTTTCCAGCGGCCGGGGCAGCACGTGCACCTTGGAAGGGTAGCCCTGCAAGAACTGGCTGAGGAGGCTGTACTCAAACACCTGGCGGATGCCGGTGCCCACCGTGTCAATCCTCCACGTGGTCTCCTGCGTGTAGGGGTAGACGGGCTTGGGGTCCCTCATCCACACCCCGTACTTGCCCGTGATGGTCTCAGCTGTTCTCAGAGTCACGGGCTCTCCCACCCAAACCAGCTCTCCGCATCCTGGGGAATTAAAAACAAACAAAACACAAAACACATGGACTCACCGTTATCTCTCCACCTTGTGGAGCCGGCACAAGCCAGGAAGGAGCCCAGAGACGGACCGCCCGGGTTCAAATCCTGGCTCCGCCACCTGCGGGCTGTGTGACTTTCAGTCCGTTACTCTGCCAACTCGGCCTCTGTTCTCTCATTGGTCAAGGGGATAACGATAGTGCTTTGGGTAGAGGGCAGCGGTTCTCAACCTGTGGGTCACGACTCCTTTGGCGGTCAAACGACCCTTTCACAGGGATCGCTGAAGACCATCCTGCATATCAGATATTTACATGAAGATTCATAACAGTAGAAACATGACAGTTATGAAATAGCAACGAAAATAATGTTATGGTTGGGTCACAACATGAGCAACTGTATTTAAAGGGCCAGAAGGTTGAGAACCACTGGTAAAGGGGCTGTTGTCAGTCTCCAGTGTCATTAGACATGTTCAGCGCTTGGTCAGAGGAAACGGCCAGTACAGGTTGTGGTTGTACGTGGTCAGAACTGAACCTTAACAGAGGCTGCCCCGGAGCTTCGGGCTGTATTTGTCATATCTGACTCGCCCTGGCCAGGGTCGCATGTGTGTGCACTGTATTATTCTTTATGACTCTCATGTCTGATTCATCTTGTTATTTAAAAACAAAGAAAATACAAACATTAGGTCATTAGAATAATCGCTAGAGTTTTACAAGACCTGACTGATGGACCCTATATTTCAGGCATCACTTTAATACAATAAAATGAAGAGGTGGTTAGAAACTTAGATTTAGCAGAATCCTAAGTTTCTGCACTTGACGAGGAGCCTTCAGTTTCCTTAGAGAAGGTGCTTGTATCTCAGGGAATCGTATTTTGAATATTTCCAAGTGCCCCATCCCCAGGCATGACCTGCAGTGCTAGCAATTATTGTCAAGAACACAGAGAGTCACCGTTCTGAAAACCGCAGTCTTTGTCTTAACGTCAGGCTCTCGGGACACCTTCAAGTGGGGTCACTGTACGCTTCCTAAGGACCCAAAGTTCAGTGACAGCCTGTGTGGTCAATGGTGTCTGTCTGGCCCTGAGATAAGATATGAAGAATCCACTGACAAACTTCATTGTTCATGAGCAATCAAGTCAAGGTGACAGTCACGTGGGTGAAACAGGCACATCTCCCATCTTCCCAGGCACAGCCCAGCCCAGCCTGACCCACCCTGGCCCGGCCCGCGATCCCCAGTGTGGGTGACAGGACACAGGCCTTAGGGCGGAAGTCGGATTTGCCCTGGAGAGGGAGCACACGGGACTGGACACGGATGAAGACCACGTGGGGACGGAGGAGAACACACTTAACTTCATACCAGTGTCCCCGCCGGCGCTCCCGGGGTGGCCAGGCGGACTCTCCTTCAAGATGCGGGAAGCAGGGACCTCGGTTAACTCTGACTTCAGTTCCTGGAAGTCCAGGTTCTCCGGATTCCACCTCGAAACTATATTCAAAGGAAGAGACGGTATCCACGTGAGGAAGAGTGGCCCGGTGACTGGGCGGAGGATGGCGTCTCAATAGGCTCCCAAGGATGCGTTTGAAGATAGTAAATGGGGGAGGGGGGTGGGGGATAGGATTGGACTTTGCTGACAGCTGTCGGAGCTGGGAGCTGGGGTTCCTATCCTTCTCTCTGCTTTGGAGAATGTTGGGAAAATTCCGTGATCAAAAGCTCACAAATAGTAAACTGCATAGCAGTGTGCCGAGCAAGGAGAAGGACATTTAAAATAAACTAAAGGCAGCTTGTGCTCCGTTAGAAACTCCCACTCGAAGGCCTGATTTCTGAATAGGAACAGGGTGTGGATTCAGGGGTATTGGGGAGGCCCTCGATTCGACGATGAACAGCCCCCAGCATGATTTGGGTGTTTTTTCCCCCTTTCCATAGATAGGCAAACGTTCCTTTAAGAAGCAGTGTTTCTCCTTGGAAGTGTTAAGCTTTCTCAGTAGAGGGCGCTGGAGGGGCGTGGTGGGAGGCTGGTTGGTAGCCTGAGTGTGAACCCACCGGGTGGGGCCCCGGGAGCCTTGGCCTGGCCATGATCTTTCCACAGCCCTCGCATCACAGAGCCCGG